AAAACACACACCAGGTGTCTGCGCTACAGACCGGATGACCCAGAAAGTCTTACTGTTCCAGTTACCTCAAACAATCCGTCATGTACAGTAATGGGACGTGAGGACACATACTTGTGTACATACAGTCACTGCTGTGGGTGTGGCAGTACAAGATGTTTATCTTTAAATCTTGACATGGCACAGAATGTTCTCATCGACCTTATATGTCCTCCTCCTCCTCCTCCTCCCTGCTCATCTCCTTCGTCTTTCTGTCTTTTATCTCAGACACTTGATTGAACGCTGAAGCAGCTGTTTGAGCTGCAGCAACGCAGCTCAGAAATTGATTTGTTGCTGCCTGTCAATTACTCTTTTAGCATAAATTAGTAAATCATTTTTTTGAAGGAGAAGATGTGCGCAATACAAATTGAGGTTTTCGAGCATCTCAACACTCATTCATTCATTATTCTTCCGTTAAGACATTGTGAAAGTTGAAACGTCCTGTTGGGTTTGCTAAATGTTTAATCTGGCTTTGGGCACAGTGTACACATCTTTTAAATATCTAAGTAAATATTGTATTAAATACTGGATCCTTCTCATTTGGTTACAGAAAATCACAATGTGACATCTTCAGAGTTGTTCAAGCCTGTACATTGCAAAAAAACAAAAAGTAAAGAAATGCCACAGAAATGCTGAAATAGAAAATATTTGGTCAGTGCATGAATGCTATGTGTACACATTCCTGTCAGGAAGTAGTACAGACATGTATCGCTCCTCACCACTGAGCTTTATCACTTCGGCAGAAATCAGCTTTCTTTCAGAGATCATCGCAGGAAAAGATCTCCGCTCAGCTTAAGCAGAACAAATCCTACATGCACCGCTGTGGCGCCGCGACCCAGCGCAACGTATCATCGCCGTATCTCCGTCTGTGACGCCGCGCTAACGCCGCCCTCAAATCTAGACCCCCATCAGGTCCCTGAGTTCCACCGCTGGGCTTAATGGAGCGAGGCAGAGCTTATTCACTATTTATGTCACTTGTGTTCTCCTGAAACTCCGAGAAGAAGAAAATCCCTCTTCCGAACTTTACTCACAGAGATGTGAGTTAATCCTTTTGGGCGAAACAAAGGTTGCTTTTGATCTCACGGTTTTCGAGTCTTTATGTGGAGCGGGGGTGTGTTGGCTGAGTCCCACTTGACTAATGAGAGCTGTGGGCGCGGCTGCTGGATCTGCCTTTACACACCGTGTGCCCCAGAATAGCCAGTTAATTGATTGTGTTTAAGTCACAACACCTTTTCACGTCTCGGTTGCCACAAATCCATAGATGAGGGAGTTATTTCGACGCCAGCGGCTCGTATTTAATGTCAGAATGCCACTCCCCTCTACGCTCTGTATTCTGCATTGCTGTCTATGGGGAACATGGTTTGGGAATCTGCTTTATATGATTGTAATGCGTTGGCACGTCTTCAAATGTGTTTCCTCCTTCGCTTGTGTGACATGAGGATTTTTGATTTGCATTTAAACAGACCATCAAATATAGATGCTTTAAAGGACGGGTTCACAGTTTCTCCAGTCTGTCTTACAGCAACACTCACGCGCACAAATTTACATTGAAATAGGTTTCGCCCGCTGTAATCCTTCCCATTAAAAATCCCTTCCTTTTGCAATTCCAACATAAGTGATGGGGAACAAAATCCACAGCCCTCGTTCTGGCTGATATGAGGCCTTCAGTTCTTCTTCTCGTTGCAGCTCAGCAAGGAATCACTGCCGACGACACAAAGAGGGAATTCTGTGTAAAACAATGGAAGACGTACGCTCTTGTCTAACTCAGACTGCTGACAAATGTAATATATGTCTTTGCACAGTCGAGGGCTTTACACAATATTCAAATATCACTAATGCAACAAATATTAGACCATTATTTATTTGGGGCACACGATTTGCTACGAATTGGTTGCCAATTTCTCAAAATTGCAACCTGGCAACTCTTACAATGGAGCTGGTTTTAACAGCACACATGGGAACACATACTAACTAGCACTGAAACAAGTGGAAAAAAGTCATTGACACCTTTTGATAAGCAATTATCCTGATTATGAACTTTATAATATGTCTTTTAATATGCCGACAAATATAGAGCGGGGGCTTCGGGGGTTATTATTTGCACCTGTTCTTCCAGACAGTTGTGTTTCTCCGGAGTTGAGACGGACTGCATTCCTCCCCCTATTGTGCATATATGCGTGTGTGCACGCCTGCATGCGCCCATGTATGTGCTGTAAATCAAACATGCGCAGATCCCGGTGTGAAGTCAACCAAGCAGCCGTTCTATCTCCGTCTTCTTTGTCTGTCTCCCGTCTCCGTTTTTCTCTCGTCCTCTGTTGATTCTCTGATTGAGAGGAGCCTGTGGGTAAGAGCACGCGGGGGTCAGCGGGTCAGACTGACGCAGTGCTGAATAGTTGTTTTTAATAATGGAGGAAGAGCGCGTGTGTGTGTGTGTGTGTGTGTGTGCGTGCATGACTGTCGGGTGCACTTGATTCTTCAGCGGCCCTAAACAGCCTGCAGTGGAGCAGTGCACTTAAGCGCACTGAACCCCTCTGACCTTTCCCGTGTGCATGCATCCATCCATACAGTATGTGTATGCATGCGTCTGCACGCATGTTTGTCTGTGCTTAATGTGTGTTGGCATCTGCACAGGTTAATGCAGTGTGATTTAAACGTATGGGGGCATGTTTGTGTCGACTGTCCCGCTATAATAGTTCGTCCTCATTCTTGTCCCCCGTCGAGCAGCAGCATAACACACACACACACACACACACCCCCCCAGTGCATTCACAGTGCGTTACATGTTTTACATTTTACATGAATCAGTTTCATTGACCGCGTTCAAAACCGATTTGACTTTGCCGAACTAACAGTGACAGGATGATGGCGATTGCTGAACCATTCGTAAAAGTAGCACAGGTACAGAAGAGTCGTCATGTCGGCGAAGTAGGGACGCACAATGATATGGGCATGGTCATATGTGGACTTCTCATTGTTTCCACCAAACCTCTCATTCTGATTATACAATAAATGAGCGAGTCATTGACTTGTTTAGCTTTCAGAGTCTAATATTTGTTTGTTGGCTTTATCCTTCAGGACAGTGATGAACACGTATGCTTCTGTGTTTCCCTCATACTAACATCATAATCATAGTAGACAGTTTGCACATCCACAAGAATTCTTACATATATCTCCAACAGCTTCTTTTTTATTGAGGCTGTCCGATTGTTTGGCAGATTCTGACCCACCAGGGCAGCAACACAAAGCGGAGGTGACGGTGTTGGGCTGCTGACAGCCCTCTAACCCCCCCCTCCTCCTCGTCTGAGGACGCACGGCGGCTCACTTTATCCAACTTTTGCTGCATGTGCTCTTTTATTTACACTCCTGAACTGATCAGTACACTAAAACATGTTTTCTGAAATAATTTTAGGTGAGAAACAGTCGGTGCAGTAACAGAATCTAGATTCATATTCGATCAACGCTGCCCAGTTTGACTCTCTGGATTCTCTGTGTATCACCGTTCCTCTAAATGTGTTGGATGTATGAAACAGGGCGTCATAGTTTAAGAGAAAGAACCAGCGTGCTGACATACGATATATCATCAGCACACATGGAGTCTCCTGTCGACTCGCTCCCGAGGCGTCTGTTGGACAGGTGGAGCCTGTTTGATCACTCATCATAAAGGAGGACACCGTGCGCCCACTCTTTCACCCTTCCATAATCACTCTCAACTGAAACACTGACGGAGACTCGCTAAGATACGAAGACGTGTTTAGGCAGCCCAGAAATTCATCCAGCATAGCTCTATCTCCCTGCTCTGTCTGCTTTCAGCGCTAACACACACACACACACACACACACACACACACACACACACACACACACAACCTGGACATGTGGTGTATAGACTGCCACATGGACACAGTTTTCCTCGAGCTCTTCAGGCAAACACACACACACACACACTGGCGGCAAACTCCGGATGAACACATACACACTACAGACAAACACCTCTCTGATGCGCATATAGTACTGTGTCTGTTGCCTTCAGACTAAATGTGGATGTAGTCTATCTGTGTGTGTGTGTGTGTGTGTGTGTGTGTGTGTGTGTGTGTGTGCGTGTGTGCGTGTGTGTGTGTGTGTGTGTGTGTGTGTGTGTGTGTGTGTGTGGGGAACATCCATGGAAAGAAAACAAGGAGAAAGCATGGAAAAGATGAAGTGATCGAGTAACTTTTTCAATTTTATTCCTCAGGGACGTTTGCAGGGAACACACACAAAAAACGTTGACAGCTCTGGCTCTCGCCGCGTTTCATCGCCGCTTCTTCTTCTTCCTCCTCTTCTTCTTCTTCTTCTTCTCTTCCTCTCCCCCCACCCGACCATTTTGTTCTGTTTCTTATCACCGTCCTTGCATTTGTGAATCAAAAAACTGTCAACTGCCGGTTCGCTTGATGCACTCTGACAGTGTTCAGACATCGAGTTGAATTGTGGAACAATGAGGCGTGTGTTTGGGACCCGCTGCATGTGTACAGCACGTGTGTGTGTGTGTGTGTAATAGCTAGCCTGTGTTACCGTTCACATGTCGGCAGCTGTGTGTGTGTGTGTGTGTGTATGACGAGGGGCTTGGCGCCAATCACATCCAGGACCACACAGGCACTCGGGTGGGAGCCTGTGGGAGTCAGGGGCCCCACAGCCCACAGTTACCCCAACCAAGACAACCACCTTCCAACCTTTTGGGGCCTCCTTTACCACCTTCTCCTCTTTCACGGATTCTGCCGGCCGTCAGGAAAAGATGGAGACTTTAGTGTGAGGTGGAGGGGGTGTGGTTGTGGCTCTGGGGTGCCCAGGGGCCTCACCGGGGACCTTTTGTGAGTGAGCGGTGTGGTCTCTTTATAGTGTGTTTTATTGCTCATTACAGAGGAGGCTGAGATGTGGAGATGAATGGAAGGACTTGGGAGGGGGGGGGCTGGAGAAAGGTGACGTGGGGTCTGGAGTGTTTGACGGAGGAGTTCATCCCAGTACTCTGGTGTACTTAATTAATTTGTGAATTAAATATTGACAAATAATGCAGAAAGAAATATGTAAGAAGATGCTGATTATAATTCAAACTACTTGAGGTAACTGCAATTAAAAAACAATGGTGTTAAAACGTCTAATAGATTCTCACGATGGCTCTACTGGAGCCTTGGGTCAAACCAGGCCCTGCTGGTCTGGAGCCTGATGTTTACTCCCTCGCCTCCCTATGCATCTGTGCATCTGTCCTCTTGAACTGGGACACGCATGACCTGAATAGCTGACGACCTGCTCGCTCCTCCCCGGGGGGGCGAGTGACTTTTGCTGGGGCTGAGATCTCAAATACGGTCAGGGAGGCCTCAGCGCTGTCACCGGTGTCATCTCACACTGTACGTGGCGACGGGAGACCCGTTAGCGCTACGTCTGCTTGGACACTCGTACGGTGTCTCATGCAGAGCCTTGGACCTGCTGAATCTAGGCCAGACATCTGCTGATGTTGCCCCATACTGAGCACAGCATGGAGTAGAAAGGTCAACTTAAAGTTAAGTCCACTCTTGCTCATAGTTATATTTGTGCCTGTACACAAGAAGTAGTGCATGCACACTGGACCCACCTGTATGTACGATGCCAGGAGCCACTGAAGCCACGCCCTTCTGCCATGTCCACAGTTTCATAGTTAAATAGCTGAAGTCCACAACCAACAGCTATTCCAGACCTCGAGACCATAAAACCGGCTTCAGTGAAGAAACCAGAGGAGCTGCTGCATCTGAATGCTGCTCTCCCCCCTCTGAGCTCAAACATAAACCGCTTCAATTTGTTGAGGCCTCGCTATTTTGCTTCATACATTTGCACATATTTATTTATGTCGTTTTTATTTGTGCCAGTGTTTATACGTCTGACGCAAGTCTGGTTTGTTGTATTTGAGCTGAGGTTGGTGCCTGGATCCCAGCCCTGTTTGTAAACCACAAGAAACTGAGAGTGCAACACACACACACACACACACACACACACACAGTACTCACTACTGCCAGGTTTGTGTAGTGCAACATTAGATGTGCACACACACACACACACACACACACGCAAACAATTGCTGTTGTTTCGCAACCAATTTTAAATGTGCAACAAACTCTCATGTAAAACAGACCCGTTAAAAACCAGCGCTCATAGAACGTCTAGTGAGTTGATGTAGTTACTCAGCTTTTGTGTATTAAGGAAAATAAACAAAATGTAATGAGGACATATTTTAGGAAAATATGAAAACGCTCATCCTCTCAGACTTCTAAGATTTTCCCTTCATTACACATTTTCATGGTCTTAATTTCAGCCTTTACAGTTGTTTTCTTTGGGTTTTCAGTGAGAAAACAAACATGTACCATCTTTGTTTGATTACTCATTAAATGGGAAATATACTGTATGCTGATAGTTGATCGCCTTTTTGGGGGGTTTCCCCTGTTGCTCCATCTCTAATGTGGGAAAAGGAGACCTCTCCCTGGGCTGTTGGCGTGGCAACAGCAACTGTGTGTGTGTGTGTGTGTGTGTGTGTGTGTGTGTGTGTGTGCGCGTGTGTGGCTGCACACTAGAGAGATGACAGGAGGGAGGCCAAAGTAGAGTGATTGCCCAGATTGCTGGCGCAGTTGGACAAAGTTACCCATGCAGTCACAGCCTGTGTATGTGCGTGCGTGTGTGTGTGTGTGTGTGTGTGTGTGTGTGTGTGTGTGTGTGTGTGTGTTTGGTGCTGCAGGTTAGGCTCAGGGCCCAGACACACACACACACACACACAACCTCTCCCCCATGCTGCTATGTTGCCATTGCCAGCTCAATCTGCCTAATGTTGGATACACGCAAGTTTACACCCTAACACACATCGCTGTAGTAATACAAAAACACACGCACACACACACGGAAAATGGAATTCCCTACTCTGCTAGCCCATCTAATTATACCACACTCACACACACACACACACACACCACACACTCATACCTTTCTCAGAATGAAAGTTTGGCATGACCACTGCCTCCAAACATTTTCTAAGGTTAAGAAAACTGACCTTTAAACGGGACACATCGTGCTTATTTTCAGATTCATACTTGTATTTTGGGTACCTTATAGAACATGTTTACGTGCTTTAATGTTCACAAAACACTTTAGTTTCTCACACTGTCTGTCTGAATATACCTGTTTTCGTCCTCTGTCTGAAACGCTCCGTTTTAGCGCCTGTCTCTTTAAGAGCCTTGCTCTTTTCAAAGTTTGTGGGTCGGGAAGACACTCCAGACACCCGATTGTGTGTGCATGGAAGAAATTAGTTTTTCATATGTCCCCTTTAAATTATGTAGATCTTCATCTTAAATCCACACTTTCCTACTTAAATATTGCATATATCACCACGAGATAGCTTCCTTTAATTCTCTTTTAAGAGCCACTATTGAAGCTGACATTTTAAACGACCGTGGCTGTCCATATGTTGAAACTGTACTAACCCCTCCTTGTTAAAGCCCCTTGAATGCACTATAACTGTACCCCAAAGCAAACAGCAGCAATAATCTCTCTTCATCCGAGTTGTCTTGTTACAATGAGACATGAGACACTTCCATGAGCTGTGAGGAAATGAACAAATGTGAGGAAGTGGACATCTCCGGGAAAGCAATTTGGGGGGTGGGGTGGGGGGAGCACACATTCGTGCGGCGTCCAACAGTTTCACACACAGTTCAGTTTTGACTTAAGGTGGGCTGACGAGGAAATGGGAGGCAGGAGGAGCCGGCTGAACGTGTGTTTGGGAGAATCGGGCGGAAAGAGTGCCGATCGTGGGGCCACCTTAAGAAGGGGGAGAAAGAAAGAAAGAAAAACTGCAAGTGGAGGAAAAGAGAAGAAGTGGGGAGAAAAAAACAGAAGTGAGCAGGATTTGTTTTCCAAATGCAGTCACATTCTTGGCAGCACCTTAGCTTGTCCTTGCCAGAGGAGGGTGGGAAAAGGAGGGAGGGATGAGAGAGGGAGGGGGAGAAAGAGAGAGAGAGAGAGAGGGGAAAGGGGACGTGGGAGAGAGAAAGAGCAGATTGTCTTTCTTTTTGCTCCCTGCCTAGTGCATTAAAAGTTAATATGTTAACATATCAAAGTACATCTGGAGATGATCTTTGATCTTTGGCCTTGGCTCACGTCCCCTATAAGCAGACACGTGTGAGCTTTCTAATCTTTTTACAATGTACGCAGGTCTTGTTTATGTATACATTGCCTCATTTAGCCCCTGCTGACAAAATGTACTTTTCTATATTTAGTCCTTACATTTGCACAAACCAATCACAGAGTGTCCTCGGGTGTTTCTCCCACTGCGTCCAGCCCGGTATGTCTGTCTCTATAGAAGCATTTCAAAGTAAATACAGCATAGTTGACAGAAAGTTCACGGACGCTGCTTTTTGATGAATGGACAACAAAAACAAAACTAGTTTGTGGTCATTCTGTCATTTTCCGTCTTCATTTGCAGTCGTTTTGCATCCTGTGGTTGTTTTGCATCATTTTGTGTTTTTTTTAAATGTCTCTTTGTAGTCCTTTTGCACCTTTATGTTGTTGTTTGTCTACAAAACTGTCACTTAAGGGGCTCTTTTCCCGGGAGACCCGCTCAGTAATCCATCAACAGTTGCACTGTTGACGTGGCTCGAGCAATTTTGGCGCGATGTTAATCTGGGAGCAAATGTAACAAACGTCAAAGGGGCTCGGCTTTCCCAGGGGTTTTGTTTTTCACGCCTTTATCATCATTGGTTCTGAAAGTGACACACTGACAACCGGAGAGTTTGTAAGCGCTAAAGGAGGTGAAGACAGAGGGAGAAGTGGTGATGTAAAATCTGTAGAAAAAGCCCCAACAAAAAACCTGTGTTGAAAGAAAGATAGACGAGACGAGGAAAAGAAAACTGTTGAAAAAGGACAGATAAGGTAGCGTGATCGCTGGCGAATGAGCAGAGTCAACAAACACATACAGATAACTGCATTAGTGTGCCGTGCGGCCCCGTCAACCCCGGCATGTCCCATGTGTCCTTGGCTGGTGCAGACGTATCTATATGCACACCCAAACACGCACTGCACATGCAAACAGAATAAGAAACATAGCGTTACCAGGAGTCAGGGTAGGATACTGTGTTCCCATTTTCAGCAGGGCGACGTGGACGGCTTTAGAGCCTGTACAATATAAAGACTTATAGATACACAGCGGTACAGATGCCCTCCTCTCACATACCAAAACCAAAGGACGTGTCGAAATGTAAAGGGACTATTGTTTACTTCTTTGACATCTAAGTCAAAGAAGCCTCATGTGTAGGACACATGAGGCGAGCTGACTGCTGCTGCTCATGGCGTGAAAAGCTTGCTGGGTCAAAGTAGGTCAAAGTTCAAACGGTTTGAAACCAGAGATTCGTGTTTTGGAATTTATTTTTTCCTGCACCGACCGCAGCAAACTGCTGAGTCGAGAGTTATTGCTCCCATCGTGATAAATACATGGATGTGTACTTGTCCTTTACCTGCACAACAAGCATGAAAATCCCCCAAAATGTGTGTGCACATTTAGGTTGAACATTAACGTTGTAGTGTATGCAGTATGTCTGTGTTTGTGCGTGCTCATGTCCACAAGGTCAGGTTTTAAAGAAATGGCTGCAAAGGTAGCATTTAGTCCCTTTGTTGTGGCCTATTAGCACCTATTAATAATGCCCTGACAGCAACTAGCCTGGCCAGAGAGCGAGCAGAGAGGGAGAGTGAAACATGATCTCTCTGCCGTCGACTACTCGTGACCCTGGGGTACTGACCCTCCCTTCCACTTCTCCCACTGCATGCGCCACATCAACAACACTGGACTCCGGCCCTGTTCCATTACTTAACCACTAATTGCTCGGGCCACCTTTGGGAGTTGGGAGCGCTGACCCCCCCGCGTCTGCTGTCAATGGTGTGAATTTTAACAAGGGGTCCTCCTCAGGAGCTTAAGGACTGAAACCATCATCCTCCTCTGAGGTTACATTAAACCTGCTCCTCTATAATCCGTCTGCGTTCATGGGGGAAAGACGCCGTAAAGATCGCTCATGAGAAGGTTTGACATGAAAGTCTGTGTCAGTGTAATGAGAAAATTGCCACATCTGAGCTGACTTGTGATCTGCTGCACATCAGAGCACTGCAGCTGCTGCAAGAAGCACGTAGTGGTCTTAACAGGTGTCTCGTGGACTCGGCTGGTCCCCTTTGAGTTCAAATAATTGGTCAAAGAGCCCTGAATCAATATGCAATTTCACAGCGAAATCGCAAGACTTCATATTTTTCCAAATTGGGGTGCGACTGTGACATTTAAATGGACAAAAATCTGAAAGGAGTCGTGCAGATTGGGGGAGGGTGGGGGGGCTTTCCTCTTCTGTCCTCTCATTGAAGCATTTGGCTAATAAAATTAATTCTCAGCTTTTAGGAACTGTTCTGTTAATGTGTCACACTTTGTCTCATGGACTCATCTGCGTCCGTCTTGATTCACGTGACATAAAAATGGAAACATTCACTCTCGTGATGCGTCTTTACTTCCTCCGAAAAGTGAAAAGTGAAGCCAAAATATCCCGGATACGGGAGCTGCAAGCTTTCCCCTCATAGACGCTCCTTTTTCCCTGTACTTTTGTTGTTAATTGTGTCATTACTACAGCTAGCAAACTTTCAAAGAGTCTCTTCGTGAACTTAATTGACTGGAAACATAATTCCTAACATTGTTTCAGGGTCTTTAATAATACCTTGAATTGATATCTCCCCATCACAACACAGCAAAACGCCCTTGACCGTAACGATTTGTTGCTGGTGTAGAACCTCGTTTCTCACCGGCCTGCTTTGTACTGACGGATCCTCTCGGTCTGAAGAACAGAGGGGCATCGATCTCTTTGGCCTGGAACAGAGCAGGTCATGTTTAATGAATTCTTCGTGTCTCCGGGCGTCAACGTGCATTCGCTCGTTATTCTTTTCATACGTTTTCAAGGCTGTATTTCAGAGCACGCAATTCAAGGTGAACCTTTCTTCCTTGAGGGAAGATCCCAGTTTTTGCAGGCCCAATTAAAATTTGGAAGCCGTCCTGGAAGGGAAGAGAATCAATGCATGTGGCTGAGACGTGTGAGGTGTGTGTGTGTGTGTGTGTGTGTGTGTGTGTGTGCGCGCGAGTGTGTGTGTGTGAGTGTGTGTGCGCGCTTTACAAACTGTTATTGTTAAAAAAAAATCTGAGAGCTGACATGTAATTGAACCTTTCAAGTTGACGTTTGATCGCCAAGCAGCAGTTTGATTGGTGCTCAGTGATTGCAACTTTCCCGATATTGCGGATCACAAATGCAGAATCTGTGCTCTACTATGAGTGTCTGTATCGATCTATGTTTGTATATGTGTGTTTGTTCGAGTCGATACAAGCTAATTCTAATAGAGTAGGTGTAACCGCAATAGATGCACGCTTCCTCCGGCGCGGTGATACATCTGACATCTGTCGGATGTAGAAATAGAATAGTTCCTACACCGAGCTGCTCACGACAAGGTCCGTAGATTATCTTGAGTAATCGGATCATGATTTCTAGAAAGAACCATTGCAACCACCTGAACGCCCCAATTCTGCCTCCTGACTCACCCCGTTCTCTCGTCCTGATATTCGTCTTCCAGCTCTGATAAGCGGGTTTATTTTGTCTCCGTTCCAACGGTGACCTAAATCCAATCTTTTCTTAACCTCTCCTCATCTTTACCCCCATGCCCTCCTTCACAAGATACAGTTTATATTATATCAATCTCACTTTGTCTCTTTCGTTCTTTCTCACTCCTTATCTCCTCTCCTGTCCTCACTGTCTTTCCACAGCTCTAGTATGCTACGTACTCCTTTCCGCCACAGACCAATTGACAAACTGTATTTTCATGCCCCGTCCTTGGATACATGGGATATTAATACAAGCATAACTTCCTTGGTGGGGGCAAAGGCGAACGAGTACATGCAAGGACACAGTAGTTAAGAGGGCGACTACTGTGTGTATGTGGCCTTCAGAGCGGGGGAGTGTGTCCTTACAAAGATTTATTACGCTGCGATTTGATTCCTGGAAATACCTTGATGTAGTGTTCTAGCTGGCTAGCTTCTACTTTACGAGTGAAATGCAAACTTTACAGCACGTTTGGTCCTCCTGAATGTTGAACGCTGTAAAGTATTTAGACTCGGGGCGATGATGAAGCTGACGGCGCGGCCCTCAGGGGTCAGTAAAGAGGACTCACTGGAAACACCCACCAGGAGGCTGGAAGCTGAGACGCTGGTTCCACAAAAACAGTTTTATCCTCTTTTCAGGAAGGAAGTATGTGAAGAATAGTATTAGTAAATCATAATCCTACCTTTGCTGCCACTGAAGCTGCTACTAACAACAGCAATACTAGGTTATGTCATCATTACTGTTGACACCACAGTCCGTCCTGCTCGGGTCAGAGGGGCCCGGCTGCTGTGTGCGCGACCTTTTGTTTTCATGACAACAAATAGAGTTTGTGTGTTGAGTGTGTGCTTGAGAAACGGGGTTTGTTTCACGGCCAATAGGGTTCTTGATTCAGGTTCTTGTAAAAGGTAGATGTGGCTGTTTGTGTAATGTTTGACTGAAAAGACCTTTTCATCCCCTCGTATCTCGTCACAAAACTCCAGCCACATTCATCCTCTGGAGGAGTCTATATTCTATCATTTAGAGGTCTATTCAGAGCTGTTTAATGCCGAAGGTTGCAACACTTCATAAAGCTGAACGTTCTTTAAACCTGCGTTGATTCAGTGATTCTGCAATGACACACAATGTGTTCATTCAACGGATTAGCGGCTCTAAAAGAAGGTGTTTAGTCAGCGCGTTAAAGTGCTGCTATGAGCTCATGTTTGGGCTTTTCAATTCCCTTTGAATACCTCAGATATGTATGCAATTTATTTTATGAATCAAAAGGACCACTGCACATTCTTTCAATGAAGTAAGTCTTCTTGTTGGGCTGCATCTCAGAATTATATGAATTCAAAATGTTATAGAAAATACCAAAAATGTAGAATAAAACATGAGCCCGAGAACCTCTTAATTGTTCTTTGTCCGACCAACAGTTCAAAACCCAAAGTTATTTAATTTATAAAGACATAAAACAGAAAATCAGCAAAAGCATCCTCACCAGCTAATCGTTGCTGTTTTTGCTTGATTGATTGCTTAAACGATAAATAGATAATAAATATTGTCCATTACTTTTCTTTCAAACCACAAATTGATTAATTGAGTAATTGTTCCAACATTAATTTAAGAATGAACTAATTAATATCCTCATCTCGCCTCATATTTACAACTTTAAATTCAAATGATCATTATTTTCTGAGCTTCCGTCGGCCTCACACAGAAGGTTTCGCCGTGTGAATCGTTCTCCTTCTGCTGTACAATGACTCAAACACAACTCCTTTGCCAGCAGAGAAAGGTTTGTTTTGAATATGTATGTAATCTGTCTATTAGCAGTAAAAGCACTAATAATATCAGTCATGTCTAAGGGCATTCTCATGCCCTGTATCCCACTGTTCCGGATTAGAAAGGCATTGAACCAGGGATTAGCGGGGGGGGATAAAGCCTTCCTTTGACAACAGGGGAGGGAGGCAGAGGGCTAATGGATCAAGACCCTCTGAGCACACACAAACACTCTTTCACACAGATCAGCTCCTCATCTCAAAGCTACTTATCCCTGCGCGAGAGGTGACATTCCGGAAGAAGTTTTCAAGTTGTAGCCGCAGCGGTTGAAGGTGACGGAGCTCCCCTCTGACCTGCAGGCCACCGTTTCAGTTCTGACTCCGTGTGTGGCTCCGAGGAACCCGTCTGCTGGTGGGTACACCAGGAACTGTTTCCCCTCTCTGACCCGGTCGTCTGTATCAGTGCATGTCGTGTGTTGGAAGCCTCACGTTTGGAGTTGCATTCATTTGGGTCGGGTCGTTTGGCAGCTTCCTCCCCAAGACACTCTTGAGAGAATCCATCAAAAAAAAAAAAAGATAAAAGCAGGATCTTCACCCAACCTTTGAAAATCAAGTTATGAGTATATTAATATTGAAGGAATATATTGAAGGAAAGAGTCTGATGCACCTTTCAAAAGGCTGACAGGATGTGTGTGTGTGTGTGTGTACAGGCTTGCATGTATGAAATGTGCAAAAGGGTTTTCAGGATAAATGCACGACACTTATGGCTGCAACCAGCGATTGTTTTTATCATTGATTAACCTGCTGATTATCTACTCAATTACACAATTAATCATGAAAAATCCCACTTTCCCACTGTGTCCTGTTGTGTCCAAAACCCAAAGATATCATAGAGGACTAAGAAAGCCAGGTAATGGTTCCAGCTCTGTGTATCTCACGGTGTACTTTGTTCTCTTCCAGACTGGATCCCACTCCTCCCTCCGCGTCCCTGAGACCCCGACTGGCGCCCCGGCCCCTGGGTCTGCCGATTGACCTCCAGCATCTCGCATATCTCACCGAGCCGACCTCACTTTGACTCCCTCTGGGGACCCCCGACCCATCCTCACCCAAAAAAAAAAAAAAAAGAAAGAAAGAAAAACCCAGGGACGGGACCCTGTCATATTTCACTGACGGCCCCCTCCCAACCGGCGAATGACAAGCGGGCATCCGAGGGTGGGGCTTGCCTCAGTCTCTCATGATTGGTTGCTGGATGGAATTAAGGTGAATGGAACTCGTGTCCAACGAGCAGCACCCTAACCCTTCTGAGGGAGAGGAGAAAGGGTGAGCTCTTCCAACCTTGTGGTCTTTCTCTTTCTCTACACAAACATTCTGATGCTTCCAAAACTAATTCAAAAGTTAGTTTAATATTGGTTGGCTTTAATTGTTTCATGTTGGTCTGTGTAATGTTACAACTAATATGCGTCTCTCCAAATCTTTGCCTCAAGAGCCGCTGGCGTTTCCTTTAGTTTGTCTTCCCTGATGTAAACATTTCCCTGAAATGAAGCAGGCATGGCTCTCTGTTGTTGCGTCCTGGTGTTACGTATGGAGGAGGTCTTCTGAGGACATCCAGAAGGGAATCTGGATTTTGCGTTCTCATGGTTCTCTCTGTTTGTACATCTCTGGATCATGTTTTTTTTTTCCAGACAAGCTCAACAACAAAGCGGCCTCTTTTTTTCCAGCGCCGCCGCTGCTCTCTTCCTCTCGCCCGGATTGTTTTTCAGAGAAGTGAGCTTTGAGCTACATCTGACCCCGACGCTCCTCCCCTCTGCCCCTACAGCTCTCGAGGAGCAGAACCAGTCGGGCCCGGCCCGAACACAAACAAACACAGCACTGTTTAAGCCCCTTCTCATAAATGAAAACATAATATTAGTGGAATGGAGGCTCTCTCATACAGTAGTACCGCCGGGGAGGAAGGGGCCCTCTGTGTGGAAGAGGTCTCTAGCTCGAGGAAAGCGTTATCGCTCAATATTAATCTGCTCCGGCTTTGGGAGGGGAGTTCACTTCGTTTAGAACATTCTGTGATAGTATAACGGGACAAAGAGAGAGAGATTACCTTTTTCATTTCAAGAGAAACTTTTGAAACGGGTCCAGTGTTGAGGGAGAACGCTGCAGACAGCAGCAACTCCTCACTGTCGGTGTACGTCCACAGAATCAGATCGTTATTACACGTGTCTGGCAGCATTTTGGAACAGCTTTCTTATTGTGTCATGTGACTTGCTGCCCCTGAGACGACGGTGAAAGTGTCAGTGAGAGTTAAAGAAGTGTCGGTGTTGGAAAACACAAAGCGTGGCTGAGTGTTATCTCAAAGATTGTCACTGTCACGGCTGAACATTGAGAGGATTTCAATAATGCGGATGTGTAGCGAGATTTCAGATCGAGACGTCTCACTCACAACAACAAAGGTATCAAGTGAGAGGTAAAGAAAAGGGTTTTATTTCCCTGTAGGGTCCTTTCCACAACGCTATCAGACACTTCTAATAACAACCTGAGCCTGTCGGTGGCTTTTATTGGACGTGCATTGAGGGTGAGGAGTTTCCCTGAGCGGTTACATCACAGGCCGTTTAGCGGCTGCAGCGTTCTCTCTCAATACTCGACCCATCTCAAAAACATTGTTAACCCCATTAGTCACTTAGACACCAAAACATGAGGACGTAGGTTTTAAAAATACAGAAATTATCCTTAAAATTACAAAGGTGATCTCTGTTTGTGGGAACTCTAGAGATGTGACGTGGATGACTTGTGACCTGGAAGTCTGACCGTGTGACGGATGTGTGGAAGATCACGGAAGCTTCTGTTTCATCTCTTTGTTTAATCTTTGCTCGTCATGCCGGTAAGTTGTCGAGGAAGTAAACACTGAAAGCAGCTTTCTGCTAGAAGCTCATTTATTTTGATGTCAATGACCTTTGGCCATTGAAATAATAAAAACATTACATGTCTGCATTATGGCCTTTCATGCAGTCCAAAACTAAACTTCCCAGGAGGTTTATTGCCTTGTTTATTTAGTCTGTTTACGACATGTAGTGTTTACTACTTTCAGTGGATAAGAGGAGCATCTAAACACAGAACTTCTTTCCAGTCTCTGCAGATGAACTTAAATATCTGTAAAAATAATAATGTCAATATGGGTTGATATAGCGCCATGTGGAAAGACTAGCAGGCTCCATGTTCTATATTACGAGCTTGTGTGAAGGATTCCTCTGCTAACATGAACACCTGTCAGGAGATTAACAGCTCTGCCCCTGGGGGACAGTTGGTGCCGTCCCGGACGCAGGAGCCCGTACATCGGCCTTCCTTTTTTTTATTTATATATATATATATATCCGATATGTTTAGGTGCAAGTATTCTGCGCGTCTCCGCTTGTGTTCCAACACCTGTACCGAGTGGTGGCCACAGAGCTTTGCACCTCACGGGTAATTATAAGCACAAAGAGTTGAAGCTCTCGGGGGGGCTTCAGACTGGAGCCGTGGCTTCGTAGTGTAGATGTCAGCGGTGTGTTCGGCATGACGGGGGATTTTTACTAAATCTCTGCCCCTCCCAACTGCATGTTGTCACCCTTTTGTTTTCAAACCGCTCCGGCTCTTTGAAGTGATGCTATAGTTACTCTACCGGCACGCAGACTGAGAATGTAGTTGCAGCTTGCAACACTTCTCCTAACATGTCACCACAGCTGACGCAAGGCGGCTTGCAGTGTGTTGCATTAACGGCGGCAAAGTCTTGCGCCATAGTGCTGTGTGTGTTCGTGTGTGTGTGTGTGTGCTTTATATCCAGGAATCTTTGTAGTTGATGTGCTTCAAAATGCCTCCGGTGTTTGATCTGCTTCAGCCTCCAGTCAAACATGTTGGGTCCAGATCTCTGCACGCAACTTTCTTCTCGGGCGACAGTGATTCTGATGATTTAATTACATGGAAAATAAGATGCAGTTTGAACTCAATGCTCCCAGTATGTTGAGACAGCGTATCTGGGTTCATCAGACTTGTATTCGCCACAGGTACGACCTATTTCTCTCAGCTGGAAATGGCGTGTGATGTGAGAACCTCTGTTGTATTTGTGTTGGGGAACAGACTCAAGCTCACAGATCAAGCTACCAAACCTACAGACACACATATAGAGAGAGAACACGTTAGCATCGGGGGGGGAGATGTGATCCTTTTCCTTCCACATATGTATCTAGAATGCATACTTTGTTTTAAATAAAAGTCAGGCCTCCCTGTGTTTTCTTCCTCTCTGTGATCAGATTATTATATGCAGTGTCTCACTAACAGTCTGTCTGCAAAAGTAAACAAGATCCAGCTTTTCCTTCCCTCGTGGTCGTGAGGATGTCCGGTCGTGCGCGGGTTAAAAGCATTGTTGTGTGGACTCGTGCTGTGGATTTTATGACGCAGCTGGTTCCTCATTCGACGGACATTTTAATGCCGAGTGTCATTGAGAGAGATACTGTACCTACCGGTATGTTGGGCCTGAAGATGACGCTCTTGTGCTCGGTAAACACACAGTATGTGGTGTATCCATAAAGTATGTGTGAGGTGTACAACATAAACCGATTGGGTTAAACGGGTTGGAACAATGACACGAATCCCTGTGGAGTCTCAGATTGCATTACATGTGTTGAAAAGTGTTCCTTAATATTTGAAAATGTTTCTTGGAGAAGGAACTGTTCCAGAAAGATTAACCTCTTCCTCCCCTGCCTCAGACCTTAGTTACAGTGGTGATCTGTGTTGGTTCAAAGTGTTCAAACTTCAAATATATAGCAGATCCAACTAAATGTGAAAGAGAGGCAGCAGGATTGTGTGTGTGTGTGTGTGTGTGTGTGGTTCCTCAGTCATGTACTCTTCCTGGATTCGTACTAAAGGTTCTGCTGTGGGGATCTCAACAGCACTCTTTAACGTTTGTGACCACATCTACGGAAAACTGTTGGTTTTGAAGGTGAATGAAATAATTGAGGTGGACAATAACTGTGACTGGACGATACTTATCATCTCACATTGCTCTTGAATCTCTGGTCCAGTACTTTGTGTTTTGTCATTTAAAATAACTCCACTACTACTAGGAGTCTTGTTCAAGATCATGACAGTTCTTTGTGCAGAGGACAAGCTAGAACAGTATAGAGTTCTCCAGCGTAGCGTGATCAGTGTGTTTGTGTGAGTTTGTCTGGTAAACAAGTGCAAATGCAACACAGAGATAAGCTGCTATAGATTCAGATGCGCCCGCTGCAGACGGTTGATAGTTAATCTACACCGTGTTTGTTTTGCCTCATCACACACACTGAGCAGCGCAGCCTACACCCAGTGGGTTTAAAGGTGAGGTAACCTGGCTGAAGAGGGACTCTTTTCCCCTTTTTATTAAATCTACATGTTTAAAAACGCCCACCATTTCATTATTCTTTCATTTATATTTTTTTTATACATTCAAATTCGGCTGGGTGGTTAAAAACACATTCTTCTCTGGTGTGATGAACACATATTCCTTTTTGCTTCACCCAAACTTTAACAAGATGCATATGGTTTGTAAACCTTTAAGAAAAAGCGTAGAATAGAATTCATGGAAGCAAAATGCATACAACACTTACAGTGATGTGAGCTAAACGCAGCTAAACACAGGCTGCATCTAGCCGTTCGGGCTGTGTAGTCTTTTTATAGTTGCACCGGAAGTAGCGAGCTGTATATATTTGAGGATTTAGCCTCCATGTTTATTGTGTGAGTTGCTGTAAACTTGTGTATTTGGACAGAGGGCGTTGTCTGGCTTTCACTCAGTGGTATGCTATATCCCCTTCTAGCTCAGCCTGTAATTTAGACAGTGGCGGGATACATGCGGGAACAAAGTGTCTATTAGCACTGGATGTATAGGACAGACCCAGCTGTAGGCCCGTAGCAAGCGTGCTGAACAATAGGCTACTGTAGCACTCAAAACATAGCACAGGGGGCCTCATTCAGCCGCTGTTATGGATGTAATTATGTGGACTAGTGTCTCTTTGTATTGTTCTGATTGTTTAATGCATGAGCTTCAGAGCAGGTGCCTCTCAGTCTTCTGATTTTCACTTCAGGCGTCTCCCTCACCTCAGACTGTATCCAGCTAGTTTGGGTTTTATTTGCTGAGGTTTTGAAAATGTGATCATTTTTGGTACCGCTCCAGTACGATGGAGGTACTTGGAATTTAATTTGTGCGGCGCTCACAGCAGTGAAAATTGCATTTAAAAAAAAAAAAACAGACTCGGGTATTTCTTGTGTAACCGGCACGTTCCTGTTAAATCTTTTATTGTTTTGAGCACCACAAGTAAAATTCC